CGCACAGCGACGGTGTGTTTCTAGCCGAGACTTTAAGCATCTCGGACCGGCAGAAGGCTTTGGGTGGTTTTAAAGGCTTTGCGCCAGGCGCGCGGCGCAATCCTGGGTGGCAAAGAGCGTGAAGGAGCGGTGTGTGTGTGTGTGGCTGTGTGTGCGTGTCTCTCTCTCTCTCTCTCTCTCTCTGAAGTTGCGCGTCTCACGTGGCAACCGACAAGTGACAGAAAATCGCAGTGCATGCACGAACCGCGAAGGGTGGTCCCAGGGGCAGAGGGGTGGGGGAAGGTAGAGGAAGGTACCTGCTCGGTCGGGGTCAAAGGTCGTAGACCGTACCGCTGCCGCTTCCGAAACCCGCACCGCACCCCCCGCCCACTCGTGCATGCTGAATACGTGAATTGCCCCGCCATGCGAAACGGCATCAGTGTGTGTGGAGAGAGAGAGAGAGAGAGAGAGAGAGAGAGAGAGAGAGAGAGAGAGAGAGAGAGAGAGGACGCCACATGCGCTGCTCTAACTCCATTACGTCCGCTAGTATTTTCCGAAGCTGCGGACAGACAGCCTTATTGTGTCTCGCCCGGATACTTTTGCCGGCCAAGCGGCGAGGCAGGGTGAAAAGAGGGGGAGGGGTCCAAAGAAAGTGAGTGAGGGGTGGCGTGCAGTATTAACAGTGGAAAGCTCTTATCGACTCGGTGAGGCGGCCATGGGCGGCCAAACGCGGCAGGCTGGCCCAGGCGGCTTGCACGTACAGCCGCTGCTCCCCGCCGGACACTGACCACCACTCTGTCTTGCGCGCTACACGCCACCCCCACCATCGCGACGGCCAGGCCTCAGCCCAAGTCTGGGGGAAAGCGTATTGCCATGTTTCATAAGCCCACTCCAGGATCGTAAACCGCTTCGGAACTTTCGGCCACCGAAATTATTTCAAATTTACCCTCCCTCCCCGCCGTGCACTGCAAGCAGCCGCCTCGTGGTTCCCCCGCACTTGCAGGGCGTCCGACAGAGAGAGACACTGCCGGCCAGCTCTCTCTCTCTCTCTCTCTCTCTCTCTCTCTCTCTCTCTCTCTCTCTCTACCACACTAATTGGCCGCGTCCAGGATGTGACGGGGCGACGACGCTCTAACGAGCTGCCGAACTCTTCCTGCGCGGTGCCACTGTCACACCGTACAGCCGCTCGCTGTGTCTCTCCCGCTCGCGGTGTGTCCGGACGGGGCGCGAGAGAGACAGCGAGAAAAGCACTGCCCCGGATTGGTCTGAGGGGCTCTGCTGTCGCCAGGTCTGCGCGGTATCGTCGTCCGCCCCGTTCGGCACGGCGGCTCGAGATGCGCCGGTGCATACGAAAGGCGCCGGGGCGTCGGTCACGTCCTGCAGGGCTCGCTGCAGGGCTCGCTGCAGCGCTGCGGAGACGACGGCGTGAGCCGAACCGGGCGGACAAGAGGTGAGGCTGCCATACTTAATGAACTGGCAGTGGAGCCTGAGAGGCAGCCAGGGCCCAGGCGCCGAGCTGCCGAGCGCGCTGCAACGGTCCGGCGCAAGCCACGCAAAGCTCCGGGCAAAGCTCCGGGCAGAGCCTCGGGCAGCCCAAGCCGCCCTATTTCGCCGCCTTGCTAATTTTCTCATTCGCACTGGTTTGTTTCCCCCTCGACACCTCCCGGCCTCTCCCTCTCGCTCCATTTTTTCCCGCTGCATTGCTCCGTTAATTGGCACCAGCACGCGGAAGCGTCCTAACGTCGCTCCGTCTCTCTCGCTCTCGTGGAGCGCGCCGCGTCCCGCCGCGTCGGTGCGAGAGAGACGGAGCCACTCGGCGCCCTGATTGCGCCACGTGTGACGGCGGAGGGGGCCCGGAGGGGGAGGCAGGCCGCCCGTTTCGGCAGCGGGGCTGTCTTGATTTTATCGCACTTCTGGCGCAAATTCAGCCAAGGAGCCCCGGCCCGGCAGCAGCCCGGTACGGCCCCGAGCTTATAAGCAGCTCGACCCGCCCGCCCGGCCAGCCCGGCCCGTCCGACGCGCACTGCGCAGCACGCAGCCAGCGAGAAAGGCCCGCGGGATCGCCAACTGAAATTGTTATATTAATTTAGTAAATTTACTAGAGAGAGAACGGCGACGCAGGCGGGCTGGGTAGAGATCCCCGCCCCTCCATTCCCACACTGCTAAATACGGCCCACCAAGTACCTGCTAAATGGACAAAGCGCCTCCACTCTGATCTAACGAATGTGATGTTGTGTTCCATGTGAATTGTGTCACAACCGTTTTAACACGACTTACAATTTCTAGTTTTTGCATTCCGTTGGAACGAAAATTCACTTTCTCACGAACGTGACATGATTGATATTCGTTGCACGCACGTGACGTCACGGAAAAGTGTGTCGTCGCCTCGAACGCCACCGGCTCGCCTTCGCGGAAATGCTAATTTCCGCTTCCTTCGCCCGATTTTGTTTCCGCTCAGGCCTTCCGCACCCGGCGGTGTGTTTGCGCTGCGCGTCCCTTACGGCGGTGACGATCCGCCACCGGAGAAGCACACTTATTCCCAGAGTCGTTTTTGTCGCTCTGCCTCTCTCGCACTCATGGGGCGTCCCGTATGGGTGTGAGAGAGAAAGAGCGACGAAAACGAATTTCTGAATCAGTCTGGCCAGCCCGTAGATGAACACGGAAAAAAAGGAATTCGTTGACCTAACGAAAATGTGCGTTGATTCCGTAATAACCGAAAAAAATTGTTGTTACGAAAATTTTGTTTGAGTAACAAAATTTTTGTTGGTAAAACTTACAATCTGCTAGCGCAACCAAAAGATCCGTTAAAGGAAAAAAGTCATGATTTTGTCTCTCCAACTTACGTTTTTGCTCCGCCAACGAATTGTTCGTCGTACCAACTAATTATTCGTTACGCGAGCAAACTTTCCACTGCACGGAATTAACGTACTTTTTCGTTGGGTCAACGAATTCCTATTTTCCGTGAATAACGCCATTGCGAAGAGGTCGATGTGCAGGCTGGGCAACATCCGGCAGGAAAACAATTGCAGCCCAGTGCTCGTTCCTTCCAGTACTCCGGGTGGAAGGGAGTGCGGGTTTTTGACTGAGTGCAGACTACAGTCAAAAACCTGCAGTTCGAAACGCCAGTTTTAAAAGTATTTAAAAAGTATTTTAACTCTGTAGATCGAAACTTAGATAGAGGGAAATTTTAAAAGCAGTACAGGTACAGTTAAAATTTCAGTCTCACGGCAGTTCTTAAATACAGTTTTAAATCCAGTGTAGTCGGAACTTAAAATTTTACTTCCGTTTAAAAAACAACCCACTTTGGGAGTGTTAAAATTAAAATTTTGTTTGGGCTACAATTTTTGGGTTTCCCTTTTTTGCAGTTTTGTAAGCAAATTCACATTCAGCCAAATTTAATGTTCTATTTTGTCCAATTCCAAATAAATTTTACCAAATTCTCCAAATTTAGTTCCTTTTGTGTGTTTGAATAACCAGAATATTGGTGTTCAGTCAGTTGCACGGAATTCGTTAAGATAAAGCAAGGGCAGCGGCTAATACGGTTCTTTTGGCCCTATCGTTTAAAAATTATCCGCAAACAAATTGTGGGGCCCTTACGGTTAAAACGTGAGTTTGCGTAGAAATTGTGATAGCAAGTGCACATTATCTAGGTTAGCTGCATTAAAACTGTAGTTGAACTGCGTGCCCGATCAGTGGGTCACGAGAGGGGTCTTGTCATGTGGTCCGGGTCGTGCACGCTCCGGACACGCCCGCCTGCCAGCGAGTGGTCAAGTCCTCCGCTTCACGCCCCGGGAGGCCCGTCGTTCGAAACCATCACCGCCTTCAACTTTCCCATCATCAAAAGTCGTTGAGTACGAAGGAGAAGGGGGTTGGGTGGGTGGGAGAGAGTTCCCGAAGAACAAGGAATAAAGTTTTAAAAAATAAATTTAAAACTGTAGTTAAAGATACTCGCAACTCAGTTTTAACTGCTATTTTTAAAACGAGAGATGACGAGTCAAAACTGCAATTCGCTGCAGTATTACAAAAAAATCCCAGTTTAATTTGCAAGAAAACTGAGTTACTGTATTTAACTGTAGTTCACTACGTTAAACTGCTGTAATTCGTAAGTCCAAACTCAGTCTAAGTAATATTTTTTTGTATGCAGCCTGCCATTTGTAACACTGAAAACTTAAATTGAGTCCAGATGCAGTACGTTATTGTAGGTGTGATGCGTTTAAAATGTAGATTTGACTACAGTTCGTTCCACCGGGTCCTTCTTCCTGCCCTTCTTCTTGTGCGCCACCAGCTCCTCGCAGTTTGAGCTCCCGACACCACACGGCACTGTTCGCCCAATCATTGGGAGTGCGCTGCGCGAGTGTTGTGTGCGCGTCAGTGTTAGTCAGTGCGGTGTGTGTGAGCCTCTGTGTGTGTATGAGAAAGAGAGAGGGGGGGGGGCAAGCCCCTCTGTTGATCGCCTCAAAGTAGCGGAGCAACGGCCCCGGCATGCGCCCCGTCAAGTCGCTCTCAATTTACACGGAAAACAATACCGCGACCCCGTCCTCCCCCCCCCCCCGGATATCATTCGGTTCCTCCCGAAGTGCGCGGACTACGCGGCAGGAGTTGCCAGTTCGGCCGTTGTCGGGCTTATTCTTACTTTGTTTACGTGCGCCAGGAGGCTTGATTATTGTGGAGTGCTCTGCGCGTCTGCAAAGGGCTTGTGGCGAGGCCCGCGGCGTGGCGGCCTGCCGAGTGATAGGCTCTGTCTATCGAACGGGCCGATAGAACCGCCACCGCGCGGCTCCGCGTAGCAGACGAGCTGCCCCGGGGCCACGGCCGGAACTTTGGGAGTATATGCACTCAGCGTGGCGGTACTTTACAAGGCATTCCGCGCAGCCCCGGGCGTTGTTCGGCCGGAAACTTCTCTTTTATTAAACTAGTGCTCCTCAAGGCGAGTGTGTGTGTGTGTGTGCACGACTTGGTGGAAATCCGGGAGTCGAGGGACTTGGCGCGTCCCTGGGCATCATGCCGTCGTCGCCGCTTACCTTTTGCTCGCCGAGGTGCTTGACCCTGCAGCGCAGCACGGCGGTCTGGCCGACCACGGCCGAGACGTTCCTGCTGCCGATGTCCTCGAAGTAGGGCCTGGGCATGTCGTGCGAGGACGGTCTGTCGCCGTACCGCGAGCCCACCTTCTTGCCGGCGCTGTTGACGCGCAGCCCGCCGCCCACGCTGGACTTGGAGGAGCCGGACGCCGACATCTCGGCCGACACGGCGGACAGGTCGCTGCCCCCGAGGGACGCCGCCCCGGCCCCGGACAGGTCCACGGCAGCCAGCACCGGGGCGCCCGGACCAGGACCTGCAACAGGAGCAAGGGGGTCAAGAGGAGCGCAGGTGTGGGCGGCAAGGCCTTGGGCAAGGCTGCGCCGAAGGAACTTCCGGCAAGATGATTAGCGGCACGAGAACGTCACGCAGCAAATGGTATTAGTTTTACACTAAGTGGAGTCTTTGAGGCTGTAAACAATGTCTCGATTCAAAGGGCAGGAAGCCCCCACGACGACGAACGTCCTTTGTCACAATTTCTCTGTGTGTGAACTTCCATTCAAGTAATTATGCCGAAAGTGGATTGAAACTTTGTTGACAAGGCCTCCGCGAGATCGTACTTTGCTCTTGGAGAACCCATCGAATTTGCGTTAACGACCGTCAACAAAAACGTGGCGTTACAGGGTGTTTGCCGAGGGAACAGTAGGGAGCCGACGTAGGCTTTCTCAAGGCGCACTATCCTGTTCAGAGATGCATGAAAAATGGCGAGCAGCCATTACACTATACAAACAGTTAAGTCAAATAGACTAAAGCTGTCGTTTCGAATAAGCAGCCATTCTCTCCAAGTCAAACATGATGAAAAGACAAAACAGCAAGCTCTCACTATATGTCTTGCGTTGTTCTAGGTATGTTTTGAGGTAGTAAAAGTTTCATCTGCTAAAAAGTACCAAATTTTCATCGATTTGCTTTCACAACAACAAGACCGAGGCGTGCGCGAGCCCTCTGCGCGACACGCCGCGACGCGCCGGATGGCAATTTACGACAAAGCGCTTGCAGCATGCAACGGAAAGAAAGGCGAGGCGCTATGCAATCGGGGATTCACGCCCCGCCCCACTGGGAACCGCGCGGCAAAGCACACTGGCCTTTTATGGCAACATGCCCTCCCTCCCGTGCCTGCAAAGCCCCCCGAGCACAGACTCAACACCAGGCTGTGTGTGAGTGTGTGTGCATGCGTGCAGGCCATCATGCGCGAGAACCACCGGATCGTCAGATGAGCGATGGGTCGCTGCACCATAGGCCGCGAATTCATTTTTCATTTTCTCCATTTAATTTTTTTATGCGGAAGACGCTAAGAATATAATGTTTCATTTTGTGGCGGCGCTAGTCGGGCTTCATTAATAATGCCAATGACCGGCCGGCCTGCTGTATCAAGACTGGAGGGAGGCTGGAACGGGGCTGGAGCGGGGCTGGAGCGGGGCTGGAGCCTCGACCGGACGTCCTGCCCGTCCGCGTCCTGGACAGGCTGGGCTGGGCAGGCCGAGGACGCTCTTCAAGGGCTGCCGTTCCTTTCTCTCGACACACCTCCGTTCCGGCCGCAGCGCTCATCCCGGAAGCAGCGCTGCGTGGATGAGGCAGGTACCGCTGGGCCCGGCTCGGCCGGCAGCCACTCGGGCAGCCACCCAGCAGCGGATCCAGAGAGGAGAGCCACCAGAAAGGTTGCCCCTGTGGGTAGGCGGCATTTGATACACCCCCTTCCCCAACTCGCCTTTGGATCCGCCCTCGCCTAGGTCCATACAGGGCTAGCCAAGGTCCACGCACGCTCTGCACGCTCTGCCACACACCGCAGCGCCCGGCAGCGCCGCAGCCATCGGCTCGCCTCGATAAGGAACGCCCGGCCAAGCTATTAGCGAGGGCTGGCCGGGCTGGCCGGGCTGAACCTTGCCTGGCCCGGGGAGGTGTGCGGTCGGACGCTGGCAACATGATCTCGTGCGATCAAGCCGCTTCTCTACATATTGCATGCGCTTGTCCCCTCGCTATCCCTTCCTACCCAGCCGCGGCACCGCACTGCCGGGACCCTCACTCGCCTGTTTCACTTCCTTCAAACAATGCTGCAACCTACTTTGGGGGTGGGATTCAATTGGGCGAGTGCAACTGCGGGACCAAGATGGCGGCGAATACAATAAGCGAGACTCAAAACTAGCCGGCCACCGGACCCTCCGAGTCTTGGGTTAATTAACCCAGGGGACAAGGACACGGGCGGTAAGCTGCCTGACCCTTCCCTCCCCCTCCCTCTCTCCCCCGCGCCGAGTCTGGCCGGCGGCTGCGAGCGGCAAGGACCAGGGGCCCCCATTATAAACTACCTTCAATATCATCGTCAAATTTACGGGCCCTCGTGTCCGAATAAGGCCCGGGCGAGCCGGCGTGGCGACGCAAGGCGTCGCTACCCTGCAGCCCGTTAAAGTTTGAACAAACTCCATAAGGCGCGCAATAATGGTAACCTTGTTGTCGCACTATGGAGGCGGCGCGCTGGAGGCACCTTCGCTACAGACTCGGAAAATAAGGGTCTCGCCCGCCAGCCACTTCGACAAAAGTAGAACCATTTCGAGCCTAGCGGGGCCTTGCCCAGCGGAGCCTAGCCTGGCCTAGCCCGGCAGCGCACAGTGTAGGGGGGCCCTTGCGATGCCTCTGCAGATACGCACGCTCCGCGCCAGAGCTCTGCCATGCATAAGCGCCCTCATCTGGACCAATGAGACGATCCCGCGCAACAAACTCGCACGAACAGTTCGGCCAAACAAGACTGGGGAAAAAAAGACACACACTCACACATGCAATTGAATCGCGTTCCGACACGCATTGCCCTCCGCGCATGCGCTCACACACACACACACACACACACACACACACACTTACACACACACACTCGGCACGGAGAGGCGCATGCGGTACTTGACATTCAGCCCAGGCTGCCTTATTACTCGAAGTCACGTCCAAAAATGGCGCGCTCGCGAAAATCTGGGCGCGCGGCGGCGCGGCGTGGCGTTCCAGGGCGTGGTGGGGCGTGGCAGGGCGGTTGCGCGTCTGCAGGCAGCCAACTCGGAAAGCGAGTGCTGCGACCCGTTTTGATATTCCTTCCGGGGCAAAGGCTGTGTGTGTGTGTGTGACACGTCTCTGTCCGGGCCGCAGAAGCTCAACTCATTCCGCAGTGCCCCCTCCCCTAAGCAGTACTTGGCAACAGGAAGGATGATCCGCATGAGTCCCCATTCATGTCCACGGTGCAGAGCGGGCAGCGCGGCCGGAGCGGCCAGGCCGCCCTTGCTGCAGTCGACCCGCGCTGTTAAATCGCGCCGGAAACGTCAATGTCAGTCTGTCGCAAAAAGAAACGACGAAAACAAGCCAGAGATCCGCTCTCCATAAAGCCGCGTCTACGACCGGCAACTTCCTGTCCATTTTCAATTTTTCAGCCACGTTCAAGTTACACTTGATCTCTTTCCCCTTTTCGTGCTCATGAACAAGTCGTTACATTTTTAATGTTTTTTTTCGTGGGTACACTGGATAACGCGCTCGCCAGTCGAATTTGTCTCTCTGACGAAGGCCTGCTCCCCGTTATTGTAATCCGCGGCCCTTGCGTCTGATGATGCATGCCCCAGGCGACGCATCGCTAATTCCGATCTTTTCCAATCTTTGTCGTAAATCCCGGAACAACGCACCGTCCGAAGGGGGAGCGGGGGCTCTGACAATCGGGCAACTCATCATAAAATTGGTTTACGGTGTCGGGCTGTTTCTGCCGTTCGCAGCGCCACCTCCGCCCAGCGCGGGGCATAATTCGGCTTTATTTTCTTGCGCGTCGGCCGACACAGCGCACGCCGCGCTGCGCGTGGCAGGTAAATCCCTGTGACGCGGCCCCGGTCAGAGTCGTTCGAATGCCCCGTGAGTGCGAGCGCGACAGAGCCACATCAGCTTCGGAATCAGCCGGGTGCCCGGGGCTGTCCCGGCCCGGCCCCGGCCGTGCCCGGCCGCGCCGCATCACCGCCAGTGCGTTAGCGTAAATCAGCCGCCCACCCATTCACCCCGTCGGGCCAAAGGCAGAGTGGATGAGGATGAGAGAGAGAGAGAGACGGACGCGGCGCCGGGACGTAAGCCGGGCCAGGGCACATGACGTTTAGAGTCCCACTGACTCTAATGATGTCCGGTCACTTAAATCCCCAATACCTTCAGAGGAAAGAGGTAGAAGACTGGGTCAGCGACTATTCGCGTGCCTCAGAGAGATCAGAGCACGCCCCAACCACCAGCCTCCCCGGTGCAAGCGATGGCAGACACTGCTGGGCGTTTCCAGGGACATCGACGCACATCGGTTTTGGGGGCTTTGGCGGCGTGCACGCGTGGACACTGTGGGAGAAAGGACGAACCGAGAAGGACCTGCGGCCAAAATGCATTCCTGGAAATAATGGGGCCGCACACGGCCGTCCGTCGCGCGGCTAGCCAGCCACAGGCAGCCACAGGCAGCACAGGCCAGCCAGATGCAGCGGCTTGCAATCGTCCCTGCCCTGCGCTGCAACGCTGCGAAATATGGCCGCCATTTCACCGCACCGTCCCCAGCAATTACTTTAATTTTCTGTTCGGTTCATCAGCAGCGCGCAAACTGCGTCCGTGTGTGTGCGTTGCTCGTGTATGTATATCTGTGTGTGTGGATGACTGTGCATGCTTTGTCCACCCCAGTATTACATGTGAATAAACATCTGCCCCCGTGCCTGAGCGGTCTCTCCTCGCACACATGTGTGCAACACATACGCGAGCGCACACACAACCTCGAACCCTTCTGGAATTCGGAACCAGTTGGGTCAGGCCAAACGCACTTACGGTGAAATACAGTATTTTGTTTCAAAAGATTCGCAGGAAATACAAGTACAAGATGGAGAATTAAGGTCTGAAAAAAATGGGCAGTGTACAGACAAAACTTAGTTTAAAAAAAATGTTTTTGACGAGTTGGACGGGGCAGGCACCTAGTTGTTGTTTTCTCCAAAACAAAGTGCCATAAGAAGGAGGCACGGCTCGGACGGCACGGCCCGTGAATTATGTAGTCATCACGGTGTGCTCGGCACCCCATTCTGCACCTCGGGAAAAACAACAACAACAAACTTTTTCCTCTTACAAAGGCGCGCCAAGGAGTGTGGCTCGAATTATAATGACTGACTGCGCACCTTGGCGTGTTGGTTTGGGTGTGCGTTTAGACTCGAGTGGTGTTCTCGTCCGCAGGCTAGACTCCCGTAGCCAGCTCCGGAAGGGTTCAACGGGGAGGTGGTTCGAGACCCAGCCCGG